TTCATTTCCTTTGGGTAAACACCCAGTAGTGGAATTAATGGATCATATGGTAGTTCTATTTTCAACTTTGTGAGGAACCTCCATACTGTTTTCTACAGTGGCTTCACCAATTTACATTGCCACCAGCATGCACAAGAGTCCCCTTTTCTCGACATCCTCATCAATACTTGTTATTTCTTGAATTTTTGATTCTAGCTATTCTGTTGGGTGTAAAGTGATATCTCATTGTGGTTTTTGATTCATATTTCCCCAATGATGGGTGATGTTGATCATCTTGTCATGTGTCTGTTGGCCAACTGTATGTCTTCTGTGGAAAAATATGTGTTTAGGTTCTCTGCCCATTTTTAATCCAATTATTTATTTTTTTGGTGTTGTACCTTCTCGTTATTTAAAAGCTAACAATATCACCAACTCTAGAATGCTGTTATGAGAAATAAATAAAATATCGCATGTAAAATACCTAGGCCTGACAGGTAACCTGCATGTGGTCAGTGTTCAAAAAATGTGTGCTAGGGGCACCTGGGTAGCTCAGTCTGTTAAGCATCTGACTCTTGATTTTGGCTCAGGTCATGATCTCACGGTCCTGTGGAGCCTGCTTAATATTCTCTTTCCCTCTGCCCCTCTACCCTGCTCATGCACACATATGGGCACTAAATACATACATACATACATACATACATACATACTAAATATACTGGTGTGGTATATTATAACCGTTATAATTTTTTACTTTTGGGGGAAGAAAGCACTGGAGAAAGAAAAATTTCTGCCTCAGGGCCTGTGTCACTCTGTGTGCATGCCCTTGCCACTGTTTCCCTCCCTCAGACAAATTAAAAAATACTGCATATTTTCACATTATTCCATTATTCTTAGGACCAATGATTTGCAAGTGGTTTCTAAGTCTTATCCTCAGACCCATGGCCTTATCTATAGAAGATGTAAAAGTATAATTAAGATGCCTAGCATCTTTACTAGAATGAGGCCTTAACTCTTCCCAGTCAAGACTTTTACCACCATATCACCAACTAGTTTGCATTTTTTTAATAAAATAGAATATAAATTATTACAGCTAAAAGCCACCTAATGAAGTTGAACTTGTGACAATCATCTAAATATAAAAATACTCCGGGGGCACCTGGGTGACGTCCAACTTCGGCTCAGGTCATGATTTCACAGCTGGTGTGTGCGGGCCCCACGTCGGGCTCTATGCTGACAACCTGGAGCCTGGAGCCTGCTTCGGATTCTGTCTCCCTTTCTCTCTGTCCCTCTGCCACTTGCACTCTGTCTCTCTCTCCCTCTTAAATATAAATAAACATTTAAAAAATTTAAAAATAGGGGCGCCTGGGTGGCGCAGTCGGTTAAGCGTCCGACTTCAGCCAGGTCACGATCTCGTGGTCCGTGAGTTCGAGCCCCACGTCGGGCTCTGGGCTGATGGCTCAGAGCCTGGAGCCTGTTTCCGATTCTGTGTCTCCGTCTCTCTCTGCCCCTCCCCCATTCATGCTCTGTCTCTCTCTGTCCCAAAAATAAATAAATGTTGAAAAAAAAAAATTAAAAAAAAAAAATATTGAAAAATAAAAAATACTCCAGCGCTTTGTTTGTTGGTTCCTAGTACATTCAGCACAATTTTTCTTAACCTCCCTAACTGCTTACCTGGTCCTTCCGAGAGCAACCACTGCTAATCTCTACAGGTTTGCCTCTTTCCACTCCCTCCTTTCCACCAAGCTGTCCATATACACTTTCTCTATACACTGTACTCCTGTACATCCTGTTCCCTCAAGAGGAACACACTCTTAATATGTATCCAGCAATAACAAATTAGTTTGGGATCTTTGAAAGAATATCCCATTCATGTTTCAGAGCACTTGTATTTCCAACTAGCAAGATTCTGCTGTGAAGTTAAACTGAGTTTGTACTTCCTGAATAAAACCAATTTTTGGAACTCCAAGACTATGACAATTACAGTAATACGTTTAGAGAAGTGAATACTGCTTAAAGTAAATGGCCAAATAATTGTGACTTGCTGATCAAATCTAAGAATGCATTTTGGTTTCAAGAACTATTATAAGCATAAATGTAGGTAAGTTCATCCAGGAAACTAGTATAACCCTAACAGCTTAATGAAATAAAATATAAAGAGCCATCAATTAGCTTATATTTTACTGATAACACCTAAATATTCTCCAGACTTCTAGAATGATAATCTAACCAATTAAAATTAGTTGAACAGGGCACGTGGGTGGCTCAGTCAGTTAAGTGTCTGACTTTGGCTCAGGTCGTGATCTCGCAGTTTGTGAGTTCAAGCACCGCATCAGAGTCTGTGCTGACAGCTCAGATCCTGGAGCCTGCTTTGGATTCTGTGTCTCCCTCTCTCTCTGCCCCTCCCCCTCCTGTGCTCATGTTCTGTCTCTCTGTCGCTCTCAAAACAGCAAACATTTTAAAAAGTGTAGAAAACTAATAATAATAAAATTAGTTAAACCAATTAAAATAAATAAAATGCATATTGTGCCAAAGGGGAGAAGAACTTTTAAACGGTACAAAATTTCAGTAGGAGAAGTAAAGTGCACGAATGTTGGAATGAATCATAATCCTAAAATATTAACTAAATGTAACTGGAAATAAACTAAAATCAGAGTCATTCTTATTTTCTAAAAAGCAGATTACGTTAGGGTGTAGGGATGGATGAAAAGGCAGAGCAAAGAAAATTTTAGGACAGTAAAAATACTCTATAGTATAATAGTGGATACATATTATTATGAAGTTTTCCAAAATCAAAATATGTACAACTCCAAGAGTGGACCCCAATGTAAAACTATGCACATTGAATTATGATGATGTTCATCCATTTTAACAAATGTACTGCTCTGGCAGGGGACGCTGCTAATGAGGGAAGATACCAGGGTGGAGGCAGAAGATAGGTCTCTACTCCTTCCACTCAATTTTGTTGTGAATCTAAGACTTCCCTAAAAAATAAAATCTATTAAGTGGAGCAGGGAGTGGACTGGAAAAACTTTAAATCTTCACTAAATGTAGGAGACTAATTTTCTTTAAAAAAAAAAAAAACTATAGCATTTATAATCAGCAGTTCTAAATAGAGCAAAAACTAGATGATAAAGCTAGCATGATAATTTAGCCTTGGGTTTATATTTGTAATAACTTGTCTTTTAGCATCCTAGTGACCCCTTTGCAGCACTGTTAAGTGTTATCTCCTAACACCTTTAGGGAGCTTGTTTAAATCAATTGTATTCGTACACCCCTTCCATTCAAACATGCAGTCCCTTCTAGACACAAATTATTCATCCTCCTCAAAAGTCTATATTGAATGTCTTACTCTCGATAGTACACTTAGGAGATATAAACAGATCCCTACACTCAAGATCCCTTCCTCTGGGGTCGTACAACCCAACCCTGGGAAAAGCCCAAAATGTCCAACATAAGATACTCCAAGCAATCAAGTAGTAAAGACATGAAACCAGTCTGGCCTTCTGTTCTCCTTCTTTGAATTCTTTTCTCTTCCCTGGATTCTTCTCATCTTTCAAATTTTAGTATAAATGCTATTTCCTCAGAAGTATTTCCTGATACCATCCTATTTTATGTCACAGCATCCCATTCCTTTGCTTCATTGTTTGTTTGCTTTTGCTTTTCTGTTCCATAATTACATATTTGGTTGCTGGTTTGTTATCTGTATCCAATAACAGACTGAACAACCCATGAGGGCACAGAATGCACCATATTACCAAGAATCTGCAAAGCATTCCATCAACACTGGTTAAATGAATGCATAGGTCTGGAGCTCAGGACAAAGGTCTGAGCTAGAAGTATTTGGGTATCGATCTTACCATGAAAACTGGTAAGATCACCTGCGGAAAATGTGTGGGGTTATAAGATAAGAGAATCGAGAATCAAGAGCTGAGGAAGCCCAACATTTAGATTTTCAGAAGAACAGGCAAAGACGACGAGGGCAGACAAAGCAGATAAACCACAGGGAAACCAAAGAAATAGTGTTTCAAGAAGTCAGCATTCAACTCCAGAATGCCGCCAAGAGATCTAGTATAAAAGTGAAGAGAAAAAGATACAGTGGATTTCATTTGAGGGAGATTACTGGTGACTTTAACGAGAGCCTTGTCAGGGCTGTGCAGGACGTGATGGCAAACTGCTGAGCTATTCATTCCCAGGTGAGGAAGCAGAGGCACTATCTAACCGTTAAGATTGTGGAAGGCAACAGAAAGACAGGTGATAGATGGAGACCTTCAGTAACCAAGCGAAAAGATCCTGAACACCCACAAGTTAAAGAGAATCGTGTATCTGGACAGCATGAAACGCAAACAAGCAGGGAAAGCAATCCTGACGGACACCACCACAATGAGGTATCACTGAAACAACTGGGCATACTGTGAGCATTCAGGGCTAGTTATCGTTACCTGTTTAATAAATTGTCTCTTCATTAGACTGTAAGTGCCCCAATCAGGGCAGAGACCATGTCTGTGTTCTCCGTGCCTGAATTCCCCAGATCTAGCACAGTGCCTGGCACACAACAGGTGCTCAATAAATGAATTCAGATTCAGAAAAAACAATCTTAACTATTCTCCTAGCCACCTTGACTGTCTCCTCTAATTACTTTTGCTTTTTTTACTGTGAGATGACTATGTCACTCGAGCAGGAAAGTGTTCATTACTGGAAGCATTACTGTCATTACCCCTTACTTCCCGTATCATACTCTTAAGTTTGTCAACAGCAGAACTCTCATCCCATGACACGTTCAGTGTCTTGCAGGAAGTAAGGCTAAACGCTCATGAACCTGAGTGAACGGCTTCTTACTACAAGGCTGTAACAGCAATTTCACAGAGTGATTCCAAGGTCACCAGCGGACACACGCGCGGAGATGCCAGAGGCAGCGCTCCCCTGGGTGGAGCCTGAGTAGCCGCCTTCCCGGCAGGGGGCGCTGCAGCCTCCCCCGAAAGCCGCCGCCGGCCACGGTCCCCGCCCCCCCGCTCTGCGGTCACCTGCAGCGGCTGCACTCGGGCCTCCGCTCGGCGGGCTCCACCGGCAGCTCCCACAGCGCGTCCGCACAGGCGTCGTCCGCCTCCACGCCCAGAAAAGCCGCCGCGGGCGCTGTGTTGCCCTCCGGCCCCTCCTCGTCGTCCGGCGTCTGAGACTTGGAGGGCCCACGCGGCCACGCGACGGGGTCCCCGAGTGTTCGCGCCTGTTTCTGCGGCTCCATGGCAGGCGCTCAGGTCCGGTTGTCACATTGAGTTCTCGCTGCCGCCGGGGGGCGCCACACTCTGGAGAAACCGCCTCGCGCCGCACGTCGTCACGCACGCAGGCCACGTACGGGGGGCGGGTCTCCGAAGCCCAGGCACGAGGTCCCGCCCCTCAGAGAAATCGGGCCGAACCTATTGGTCAGTGCTCAGTGAGCTCTTAGACCAGGAAGGGAAGTGCGTTTTGTCTTAGGAAGCAGGTGGGAATTAGGTACGCCTCTCCGGGACAGGAAAAAGGAAATCCCTCCGCAAACACCTAAGACTGCAAACCCATAATCACCCCTTTAAAAGTGAAAATTAAATAGAATTTTGCATTTCCCACCTTAGGATGGCAGTTTGGGAATTCAACTAGTTGAGTGCACACCACACTTGATACACACTGGATGTACTTGATAGCGAAAGGCCAAAAAAGGAGAGGTTGTACCGACTGACGGTTTCTCCGCTGGTCCGCTTCATCCAAATTTTTGCTCTAGAAGGGCAGGGCTCTGTGTCCTGTACATCTTGGTATTCCTCCTCGGCATCAAGCATACTATTTTGCACTAGACACCAAGTGTTCAATGAGGCTTTTAAGTTATCTGGGGCCCCTAAGATAGGAAACAGAGGGCTGAGATTTTCTCGATGAGGGGGGAAAAAAACCATAGAATGATAACTACCTTGCCCAAGTTATTTACAGCTTCTGAATAACAGTAATGTAGCCTGCAGTTTGTTAAAAGCAAAGATGAAGTCCACCATAGAATGAAAGCAGAAGTACTACTTGCCCAAAATGGGTGCTGATTTATTAAAATTTTATGTGACTTCTACCAGTATTCAACGTTTAAACAAAAAATTAGGGGCACCTGGGTGGCTCAGTCAGTTAAGCGTGGGTCTTTGCCTCAGGTCATGATCTCACAGTTAGTGGGTTCCGGCCTGCCTCCGGCTCTGTGTCACATCTCAGAGCCTGGAGCCTGCTTCAGATTCTGTGTCTGCCTCTCTCTCTGCCCCTTTCCCGCTTGCACTGTCTCTCTCTGTGTCTCTGTTTCTCTCTGTCTCTCTCTGTGTCTCAAAAACTAAACATTAAAAAAAGTTAAAAATTAAACTTAGTTTTCTCAGTTCTTCAAGTTTTGCAATCACAATTATTTGATTCTAGAGCTATGAAGGAATTAAATATAAAACAAAGTAGATTTACCACTAACAGTAATAGAGGAGTATTGTGTATTTCTTAGGGTGTTTATTTCAGTATGAGGTTTTCAGTCATCTTAAAACCAAGCTGATGAATGGAATACAGGGCTATTATATTTTTAATTATTCCGCATTCTTTCCCCCTGGAAACAGTACCTCTCATCTCTTTTTGGAGGGTTCTAAGGAGGAGAAGAAAGCTGACAGACTCACCTGGTGATGGATGTAGGAAGGGAGAAAGAACTGACACTTAATGCCATCCGAAATGGTGAGATAATGAAAACCCAGAGACTGTAGAAAGAGAGGTGAATCAGAAAATAATGAAATATTGGCTGCAGATTTAAGTTGGAAAACCAATTCTTTAACTGCCAAAACTAAATTCTTGTGTGACAACCTTTAGACAACTTTTCTCTGGTTTCAAGATGTGAAATGTTCTCTTAAGTCATTTAAAATTCCTCCCAGCTGTGAGATATGTGAGGGCAAATCAGTCCTGACAAGCCTACTTATATTTGGCTTTCCCTTTAACCCAATCAGATGTCTGGCTTTACCTTTCAAAGTAACCAAAATCCAGTCATTTACCTCTTGTATTACTTCTGCCCTGGTTCAAGCCCCCATCATCTCTTGCTTAGAATATTGTCATAGGTACATAAATGGTCTCTTGCTCCACCCTTGCTTCTCTATAAATCTGTTCTCCCAGAGGTTAACCAGAATCAAAGAAAACTCCCATGCAGCAGGGATGCAGCCACAGTTGGGAGAAAAGAGTCATTCAGCCCTCTGGAAAGCAAGAAATCGCCCAATATTCAAGTTTGTTAACCCTGGCCTTGAGAAGCCCAAGGATATGTACCACCTACCCAGCAGCTGCTACTTTATGTGAAGTTGCCCTCCTGGAATACACTCATGTCAGAATTAAGACCATCAGTGACCCAATATCTGGGAAATGCCTAGACACCAAGAAGGGGCGCAAAATTTCCTTTAAGCAACACTATCAATTTATGAGTGCAGGAATGTTGCAAGATAATCTATTAAAATGCTAATTTGTTTTGTTTATCTCCCAAATCCTAGGAGGTAACCTGTCTTCTTTGCCTCAGGAGAGTATGAATGGTAAAAACTGATTAGAGACATCACAATATCAGGCCACCGTGTGGGTGTATGTCTGTGTGCATGTATGTGTATGTGTGTGTTAGGGTGCCGATGGGTAAGTGCCCTTGGGTAAAAGCAAAAACTCCTATGGGAAAGATTTGTCCTAACTGGGAGTGGGACAGAAAGCAACCAAAGTCACATCCCCACTCCCACCACGTTCCCCAGAGATGATTTAACATCCAGATAGGACAAATGAGGGAATGATTTCATGTGCCTCTATAGAGGGGATGAACCGATTCCAGCCTTGTAAAGATCCTAATCCTACCACCAGAATCCACGGGACCAGATAGTCAAAGACAATGGCATCTGACTGTGGCAAATGATGACAGACGGTTCCAGGAGCCTCCCTGAGGTTTCAACACCTGGTTAGATCCTTGAGACCCTGAATGTCACTGGTAAGGAAAATGTCCTCAATAATGTCTGGGATTGAACACCCTGTCAGCTCAGCAGAATGAAGATTCAACATTGGATAAACTTTGATTTAAATGAAATAAAGATACAACATTTCTTGCTGTATTCACTTTCTACACGATGCTATCGTGTAATTTCTATCACAAATTTTGTGGCTTAAAACAACACACATGTATTATCTTATACTTGTGTGTTAGAAATCTGCCATAGATGTCATAGAGCTAAAATCTAAGTGGTGGCAGGCTGCATTCCTTTGGAAGCCCTAAAGAAGAATCCCTTTCTTTGCTCATCATTCAGGTTCTTGGCAGAATTCAGTTCCTTGTGGTTGTCATTTTCTTCCTGGCTATCAGCTGATGGCTGATAGAGGTCACTGATGTCCTTTGACTTGTAGGAGAAGCAAACTGTTACCTTTACTAAATCTCTTAGGGTTCTTTTTGGCCCTAGAATGAAATTGACATAAGACAGATCAATAGGAAAAAAGTGTAAGGGTTAAATTGTAGTGTAGGGCTAACCTGTAGCCTTAGGAAATAACAGATTAAGAGATAACAGCCTTGTTTTACCAATCAAGGGAACAAAAGTTCAAGGAAAATCAACTGGATTAGTGTTTGATTGGATTGGGGCAAGAGCATGTCTGAACTGTTTCCACCCCCATCTGGGAACTGTTTCTTTGCTCTGTTCCCAGGTGATGATAAGATGATGCGGTCGGCTATAAAAAGTCTGTACCCCGACTGTTGGGACCGCACTCTGGTCAAGAGTGTTGGTCCCGATCGGTTGGCCTTGCCTCTCATTGCAATAAATTTTGTCGTGACTGTCACTGGTGCCTGTAGCATTCTGTTTCAGGAGTCGTGTGGATGCAACAGAAAGCATACAAATTCATTTAATGGACGTTTTTCATGACCTGAGAGCCTTCATAAGGGATGAGGATCCAAAGAAGTTCTGAAACCAATTTGCTTTTACGTTAGGTTGAACAAAGAGGAGCAATGGTGGAAAATTGACTCAACTATGTGGGCAGGCTAAGGCAAGATCAGAATTATTTTAACAAGATCTGTTTGTACAGAATTCTCTTGATCTAAACTTCCTGTCCTTGATTTAAAATGTGTTTACTTTCTGGTGTAGAAAGGACATAGTTCACATAGGAATCTCATCTTTAAAGAAAGAAAAGTGAGTGTTTTTCTTGTATTTGCTGTCTTTCGAGTGCCTTTCACTCATAATAGTCAATATGCCAAAGTTCAATATGTTTTGGGGTGGCATGTACTGAATTTCTAAGACTGTAATGGCATGCTGTCGCTGTTCTAATTCAAATCTCTCCAGCTCTTTCTTCCGTAGCATTAAGAAGAAAACCACAGGCCCAAATGGTGTCACTGAAGCCAAGTCAACCAAACTGGGGTGTAATACCTAACAGTATTACATTGCTATTATAGCCTCCCCCAGAAATGTAGTCCTACCTGGTCAGTCAGGAATTTTCTGATCAGCACCAATGAAGTAACCTGTCCACCCATCCACATAAAAGAACCCATTTGTCCCCAAATGAAGATAAAGTCCCTGAAGTAATCCTTTTTTCTGTTTATGACTTCCTGATCCTGCCTTTAAGAACCTTTCCTTCTCTGCAGCCCTTTAGAGTTCCACTCGACTTGCTACATGGGGTGCTGCGTGATCCATGAATCAATCAATAAAGCCAATTATATCTTCAAATTTACTCAGTACATTTTTGTTATGTAACAGACACAGCAGAAGACTTGGAGTCTGAAGTGAACTTTGGACGGCATTCAGGGAAACAAGAGACAGGCATGATGCCTGTGAACCTTTGAGTTCACTGTCTTTCTTGCTATTTCTAAGGGCCCTTGGTAAATTCCTCTTGGTCCCTCTTGACTGGAGTTTCACTCTGTGTTTGAGCTCCTGGTTGGTTTTCCAGTGCAGCATCCGTTACTGGGTCAGCTTAGGCTAACAGGAGGCTATCCTAGAACACCAGTCCTGACCGCCTGGTTCAGCCTGCAGTTCCACATTGGAATCCCTTCCCCAGTTCCAATCGACTGTCCCGATTTACTGGGGTTTGCTGGTTTACCCCTCTCCCCATTTCCAGTCAGTAGTGTCCATTAGTGGAGTCCGCTGGTATAGTCCTTGCTGGAAATTACTAGTGGTGTGCTCTGTGCCTTCTCTCAGACAGTCCCCAGTAAGTTCTAAGCCCCAGCCCTTGTTTCTGTCCTCAGATGCCAGGGTGAGAAGGGCCAGTAGCAGCTACACTTCTCTGTTAGTAGTA